TTAGAAGCATATCATATGGAGTTGAAGAATATGAAGAAAAATTTTACACAGGCTTTGCTCAAAACTTATGACAGAAGTCAAGATAATACCACCATCCTTTATTACCCTGGCCTCCATTTAAAAAGGTTTTTGCTTATTAGAGAAGTAGTACATTTTTTTATAAAAAATTAAAAAAAACAAAGAAAAATTCAGAAAAGTAAATTTTAAGAATCACTGGATGCATATCAATTAATTTTTTTCCTCCCTCACAATCAACAGTTTTTTTGTTTTATTTTTGCTTTTTGTTTTCACCCTCTCCCTGAGGGGGAACATGGGCTTTCATAGTAGAAACTAAGAAATAATCTCATTTATATGCTGTGAGAATTTAAAAAATCTAAGACTTTTAAAAATTCCTTTTGTATCTTTTCAAGATCTTTTAGATCTTCAATTTAAGTCCTACCATAGAAGGCTCTGAAGCAAGTAGCTTCTAATAGGGCAAAATAATTCTTTTGAAATTTCATTTGAGAATATTTGCTATTGCAGTCTAATTGTCATGGAAGGAGAACAAAAGACAGAAATTAAATTTTATTTTGAAGCTTCCTCCTAAATTACATGGCCAATTTTGAATATTTATGGTAATAAGGCATACAAACAATATGAATAAACTTAATAAAACATTAAGTACTAACTTCTCCGGTAATAAAACTTTTAATCAAATCTGCTCTCAAGTAGCAAAACAATCAGATTGGAAATTTACTTGCTGTTCCTTCCAATTTACCTCTCTAAGCAGTTCTTACGGCCAGCAAAACGGCTAAAGACTAGAGAAGGGACAAGAGACAAAAGTTTGTGAAAATCCCTATGCCTAAAAACAGCACCTGAAAAACTAGGAGGTAATTCTAATTTGCAAAACCCACAAAGTCCCTTAACTGAAATGGGGATGAGTGGTAAGTGAGGAGACAGGAGTAGAAATGTACTTCCAGAAACTGCAAAAACTAGCTAACTTTAAGCAAAATGGTAACAAAAGATGTGCCAGCTGAGTGTACCAACAAGACACACACCACACTAAGCAGTAAATGGCTGGAGAACTCCTCCCCACCTACAGTCTGCTCCCAGCACTTGATGTTGTCTCTGACTACTTTTTACCAGTTGTTGTTGAGTCGATTTTGACTCACGGCAACCTCATGTGTTTCAGAGTGGAACTGCACTCTATAGGGTTTTCAGTGGGTGATTTTTTTAGAAGTAAATCACCAAGACTTTCTTCCAAGGCATCTCTGAGTGGACTCAAACCTCCAACCTTGGGTTAGCAACCGAGCGTGTTAACCATTTTGCACCACCCAGGGATTTCATGGAGTTGCCATGAGTCAGACTCGACTTGAAAGCAACTGATTTCTGACTACTTAGGTCTGGAAGAAGCCTTCACAGGCATACTCTGAAGTAGTATCTGCAAAATCTGATCTACAAAGGTGAAATCCACCAACTTCTATTTATAATAATACAGAGCAAATTCAACTACCCAATTTAGAAAGTGGTCCTCTTCTTCTTTTGGATTTAATTTCATTAAATTCCACCTGTATATATAATTCTGCTCTCATAAAAGGGCTAGATTTACTCTAATTGTATTATCTGGCGTTTGATTATTTATGATTTTCAAAGGAATTCTTACAGGTAACATCTACATTCACAGTATAGGCAAGTAGGATGGCTATTGTGACTCTCATGTCCCAGATAAGGAAACTGAATCTCAGAAAAGGTTGAGTTAGTTGCCTATAAATGAGTCCTCTCTGGAACCATCCATCAATATTCAGGGACTCTGAGAATAAGATACAAGGAGACTGGTTGATAAGTGTACCCTAGAATCTAATACTGACCCTAAACTTCATTCTCATCCTCCGTTATCAATATTCAGAGACACTGAATACCTCTTTTAACCTAAATGCTACTTTTCACAATTTGTATCTTTAGAGTAAAGCTAATTAAACGAAGTCAAGTATCTTCTTCCACATAGGGCATTTATCAATATAACTCCTAACAGTATTTGTACATCAAAAATGTTTACCTACTCGGCTACCACCACTGACTACTCTGACTGGGATCACAACAGAGGGTCCTGGACAGAGCTGGAGAAGGATGTAGAACAAAATTCTAACACACAAAAAAAGACCAGATTTACTGGCCTGACAGAGACTGG